CCCTGCCTCTCCCACAGGCCACGTCCGCACTCGACACGGAGACCGAGAGGAACATCCAGGCCTCCCTGGCCAAGGTCTGCGCCCACCGCACCACCATCGTTGTTGCACATAGGTAGGGATGGGGGGGGAGCGGGAAAGGGCTGATCCAGGAGGTGCTGAGCTGTGCTGGCTGGCCAGCCCCCCGCAGAGGGACTCACAGACCTGTCCTCCTGCCCGGGAGGTGACAGCCCCTGCGACCACGGCTCCTTGCACTGTGCAGACCCTGTGGGCCCTCGCCCCTCTGCGCCAGGCTAACACCCTGCCGTTCCCTGCAGGCTCTCCACCGTGGTGGGCGCAGACCAGATCCTGGTGCTCAAGGACGGGCGCATTGTGGAGCGAGGGAGGTGAGCACGGGGGGAGGGCTGGGTGCTGCCTGCCCCTGGGGACCCCCTCCCTGGCTCCAGGGCCAGCCTGGGACCCTGCACCCCTCTGCTCTCCCGCAGGCACGAGGAGCTGCTGCAGAAGGGTGGCGTGTATGCTGGCATGTGGCTGCGGGCCCAGGCCCCCGTGCTGCCATGAAGCCCTTTGCCGGCTGCGGGCTGGGGCCCCGCACACCCCAGGAGCTGCAGGGGCTGGGTTGGACACTCCACTACGTTTGTACCTGTTTGTTTTGCTGTTGTGTAGTTTCTTAAACCAGGTCCTTCCCAGCTCTGTCCCTGTGTGCTCTGGGCAGGGTACATGCCTGCAGACCCCCCGCCGGGGGCCATGCTCTGGGCAGGGGCAGGCAGGGTCACTGCCCGCGCCCTTGGGGTGACAGCAGCTCTGCCGCGGGGTCAAGCTCCTTGGGCTCAGGTGGGCGAGGGCCAGAGCAGGCTGTCAGTGTCTGTCCCATCCCCACACAGGGCTGAGCAAGGCAGGGGGCTGCACTCCAAGGGCAAAGGAAGGGCGAAGCAGCGCAGCTGGTGCCCGCTTCACCCCCATGTGTTCCCCCTTGCATCTCCCTGTGACCCCATCTGCAGAGATGCACCGCTCTGGGCTGGACACGCTCCCTCAAAGCGCCTCTGCACCTTGTGCTGCCCTTTTATTTTCTCCCAGTCAGCACTTCTTCGACAAGTGTCAGCATTCCCTCAGCCCAGCCTGACCCCACTCCCACCCCAGGGAGGCAGTGCCAGCAGAGAACCCCCCCTCAGCTGTACGCTGCTCGGAGTGGGGCAGCTCAGCCCTGTGCAGAACCAGGCACAGCCCTGTGGGGCAGAATCCAGGAGGGAAGCTCCAGAGCAGCACCGCTCTGCACTGCAAGAGCCCAGCAGGACCAGTCTCCCCCACCCAGGCATCAGCTCCTGCCTCCAAACACCAGCATGGGCTGGCTCCAGGCACAGGGCTGTGTGAGCAAGAAGGGGTTGTGTGCTCCTGCTACCCAGGAGGGGAATCCTCCTGGAAGGAGGAAGGCATTCCT